AAAGGACCCACAGAACCAAAAAGCCTGAGGCGCGAGGGGGTTAAGGGCCGTGGAGGGGGAAGGCGCCTTGTGGTCAGGACCCCGGTGTGAACATCACACCAGCAGCAGAGAGAGGACCCACAGAACCATTCAGCCTCAGACACAAACCATTCACAAGCCTCCGAGTCCCAAAAGTGACATTAGAGAAGCAAAAACCAAGAAGAAGGCAGATTTTTAGACGCGTGTAAAGGAAAGCGAGGAGGAACGACAGCGGCTGTCCCCCCACCGTCACATTTCACTTCACTGATCCTCTCCTCTCAACAATAAAACGCAGCGGTTAGACACGGAAGCTCAGACGATGGATTAGTGGAAGTGGAGGCGATGCTTTGATCGATCCTGTAAGAGTTAAGGATTCAGGAGCATGCAAGGCAGACCCGGGCTTTTGTTTTGCATTGCTTATGTTTCAGAGTGATGGCTACAACCTGGATTAAAGAAGGGGAAGGAAATCAAAGGAGAGAGACAAGGGGCAAAGGAAAAACACACATGTTAGACTGTTAGTAAAAGTGTAACAGACTGAATAAGAGCACTTTGATTAGTTTAAGGACATGAAAAAAAACGAAGAAGCAAAAGTTCATTTTATGAGCAAAGTCATTTGCAGCCCTTCCTGTTGAGCTCGCACTTTTTATCATGACAATTTGAATCTGCTGAGCAAAAACTGGCCTTTAAGCAGAGGTGGATCAATAATGAAGCCTTTTGAGTTCTGGCTGTGGTGTCGGAGAAAAAGCAAAAAATAAAAAAAGGCAATTTAAAGATGAAAATCAGAAAACGAGGCGAACTTCTGAATTCTGCTGATGACACAAAGAGCTGACTGAACTCTCTGAGTGTTACACAAATAACGTTCTGTGACTCCTTATATGTTATTCATGTGGTGCAAATATATAATTTAATTTATTTAGACCACCTTTGGAGCAATAGTCATTTCTCTCTGATTATTTGCTGAAAACCAAGAGAATGTGAGACGTTAATAAGTAAACGAAGAGAACACAAGTGTGTCGCAACAAGACTAAAAGGATAATGAAACTTGATTATTGTTAAAATTTACACTTAAATAGAGCTTTTTGATGTAATCTGTGTCCATAAAGTAAGCACTGTGTAAAATGTAAAGCAGAATACAACAAGCTGCAAATAGGATTATAATAAACTCTATGCTAATTTGTCATCTGCTGCTAACTATACGAGTTACACAAGTATCTTTAGCTGCCTCTCAGTTGCTGCTGCTTATTTTTAGAGCAATGTGAGCTACAGTTTCAGCAGCGATAAAGGTCATGGCCTCGTTTGTCATGTTTTTAAGTTATAAGTGTGTTTAATTTAGCATCAAGGCTCTTTACAAGTCATTCTGTTGTGTAATGTGTAAACTCTAGTTGGGATTATTTTGCTCTAGTGTTCACTGATCTGTTGACTTTAAACCAGTTTGTATCTATTAACATTTACGGTGTTTAAAGTAGTTTTGTTCATGATCTGAATTACAGTAGTCCCTCGCTACTTCGCAGTTTGACTTTTGTGAACTCGCTCTTTAGTGGTTTTTCAAAGTAAGATTGTACACAAGAAAAAAACAGATTTGTACAGGACGCACGATTGTCACCTCAATATTACTCATGTGATTGGGACAGAACTGGATACAGTACTGTACAGTAAAAAGTTAACTGGAAAATAAAATACTTTGGACAGGTGCTGTCATTTTGTAGTTTTCTCTCAATAAGCCTCTACTGTATCCCAGCTCATAACGACTACATTTCCCAGAAGCCAACAGTGCCCCACCCAGAAGCACTGCTGCCTTCTGCTGAAATACTAGAGGGAAAGTTTGATCTGATTGGAAAAAGTTTGGTCCTTATTCATACAGTGACTTTGGCACCCAGTGGATGCAGACACACGTAATCCACCTGGAACTGGACCAGAACCGGAGCAGAATCTGAGAGCTGCTTAGCTGGCCCATGACGCCGTAGGTCCAGCGTTCTCTCTGGAGCCCACCGTGATGTTTTTCATCCAGATTTGGCCTCAGTCGGACCACCGGCTGGTCCCGTGCTGGCCATTCAAAAGTCCAGCTCTCTCCAAAATGCATCAAGTTGCTCAAGGGCTGCACAGAACCGGACCAGAACTGGAGCAGAACTGGCAGGGTAGGTCTGCGGGACTGGAACTGAGCCACTGTTTCTGCAGAGCTGGTGAGTAAAATATTGCAGCACTGTGCAGTTACAATGACGTAGGTGTAAGAGTTTAGAACATTGTGGACTTCATCACTGCAGGGTACGTCTGCAGAAACTGAACCGAGTCGGACCAGAACCGAGAGCTGCTGCTGCTCTGCAGAGCTGGTGAGGAGAATTTAGTAGCTACATACACAGTATGTTGTAGGGGAGTGGTGGTGCAGAGGTTAGAGAAGGTGGGCCGGTGATCGGAAGATCGTTGGGTCAACTCCCTGTAGACAACATCAATATGTGGGTGTGATAGGTGAAGCACCCATACCTGTCTCCACCCTCATTTGCCTTAATCTGGGCCCCTGAGCAAGCCCCTTAACCCCCACCATCCACTCCCCTGGGCGCCCTAGATAGCAGCTCCCTGCTCCTCACAGAGGGCTGTGGTAGCTCGGTGGTCTGTGGTTGTGTCAGGAAGGACATCCGGTGATAAAACAATCACCAAATCTTCGTACGACTGGAAATCACTGAAGCAGGGAGCAGCCGAAAAAAAAACAAAAAAAAAAAACAAACATATACAGTATGTTGTTAATTACAAAAGTGTGGGAAGTTTCTAAAGCCTTAAAATATATATAAATACTAAAATAAATATAACTTTGCTCCTTTGTGGATTTTTGCTTATTGCAGGGGGGTCCAGAACGTAACCCCAGCGATACACGAGGGACTACTGTATTAACATTTACAGTGTTTATACACAATCTGAATTATTCTAATTCACATCTAAACTAAGTGCAACTCATTGTATTAGGCTGTTTTTACATTTGACACAGCATTGTGGTCTTGTTTGTTAAAGAAGGCTTTATTCACGTCAGACCGTCACTGTGGGGTGATTTTAAAAAGCCATTTTGAGTTTTCCCAACATTTTCTTGTGCATTTGAAAATAGAAAATGTACACGCGCGCTCCAGCTGAGACCTCAAATGTGTGTTTTCTCCTAAGAGGAATAAATTACACCTATAATGTTAAAAAGCTACAAAACAAACACGTTCACATTTAGTTTGAGAGCAAACAAGCAGCGATGCGTTTAAACAAAGACGTTTTAAAACGTACTGAGGGACTGACACCGTCTGAGCATAATTCAGCCTCGTGTTGTTTGGACAGTTTAGATGTTAAACAGGATTCAGACTGCAGAGGCTACTGGACCACAAAGGAACCAGCAGACACAGAAAGAAGCAGGATCTTTGTAGTAATCACATGTCCAGTGTGTCCACATCCCTCCTCAGCTGTGGGATACCTACTCTGCAGACTTCCAGAAGTGTCCTGGGTGGGACAGCCTGCGGTTGAGTTTGGGCAGCCTCTCCAGCATGTCGGCCAGGTGGACAAAGGTCGGCCTCTCTCTCAGGTCATACGCCCAGCAAGCAGAGAGGATCTCCTGAGAGAACACACAGTTTGGTGCACCGATGGAGGATTTACTCCTTTAAAATGTTTTTTTTTTAATATATATATAAATGACTTACTGTGACCTCCTTGCCCAAGTTGATCTCTGCCAAAACGTTCTTAATACCCTCTCCGCTTCCAACCTGCCAGATGGTGGCTTCAACGTGCTGGTTCGTGATCGGCCAGTCCCTCGCTTGGAGCTCATACCAAATAGTTCTTTAAAGGAGGGGAGCAGTGTATCAGAACAGCCGGAGCGTCCAGAGCTTCAACACATGCACTCTGTGATGAGACGACTTACCCAAAGGCGTAAACATCTGCTGCTGTGGAGAAAGGAAGGCGGTCCTCGTTGTTACCTGGGCTCATCTTGCGCACAATCTCAGGCGCGAGATAACAAATCCAACCGTGTGGAAGTTTTAATTTGTTCTCACGTCTGGAAAGAAAAAAAAAAAAAGAGAGAGACTAAAAGTCCAGCAACAAATCTTAGATGAATGTAGTCCAGCTCGAACTTCTGTGTACAAACCAGCTATGTATAAAACAAAGAAAGTACTAAATTGGCCAGTTCTAAACTCAAAAAGTACTTAAAAAAAAAAAAAAGAGTTGGCAGGAAATGAGATTTTACAATCAGGACGCTGCCATGTTTAGACATTACTGGCAACACTGCAGGCCTCAGCAAGTGCTGCAGATGTCTGGAGCTCACTGGCACAGCGTCAACGCCCTTTAGAGCTGAGGCTCTTACCTTCCCTCCTGAACAACTCCAGAGATCCCAAACAGCCCAAAATCTGTGATCACCACTTTGTTGGTATCGTGGAAAACATTCTTGGACTTCAGGTCTTTGTGAACGATGCCTTTGGCGTGCAGATAGCCCATTCCCTGTATCAGAAGGCAAACACGACTGTTCAGACAGAAATGTGTGTGCAGGAGATGATTATGGTGCTAATGAGTCGTTTTAACACTGGAGGCGTTAAATAACAGCACAAAAAATGAAACCTCGTGTAGAATTCGAGTCAGATCCTGTTTGTGTGTCTGAAGGTCCAATTCTAAATGATAGGCTTATGTGAAGTTATACAAATATGACAAATTAATGTATTTATGTATAAAACTGTATACTTGTGTGAACGTTTATGAAGCATTCACACTATTGGGATCCATTTTTCTTCCATACGTTTTTCTCGTTACACAATTTTTTCTCATCGAAAATGAAACTGAGCTCATTTTGCCTCCTTCAAATCTTCAGACCTGTTTACAACTTTTTACTGCTCCTTTCACATTTTGTTCTGTTTCAGTTTCTTTCAACTCCCTTCTGCAAATTTAAACATTTTTCAGCCACTTTTAGCTAATTTCAGCTGTTTATCAGTTGTTTTGTGCTCCTTTCTGATTCTTTCTGCTACCGACAACATTTTTGTGCTTCTTCTAACTTGTTTCTGCTCATTTCAGCTTGTCAAGCTCCTTTCAGCTAATTTCTGCAAGTTTCAACTTTTTCAGCTATTTAGCCGTTTTTAGCCTTTTCAGCTAATTCCACATTTTTTGCACTCATTTAAACTTTTTTCAGCATAATTCAGAAAAAAAACATGCTCTGTTCACTTTCTTCTGTTAACTCAAGATTCTTTCTGCTATTTTAGCTATTTTTCAGCAGTTTTTTTGTGCTAATTTTATTATTATTATTTCAGATAATTTCCACCTTTTTGTGCTAATTTCTGCTTCTTTTAGCCTAACTGGGCAAACATGTTCTTACTGCTTTCTTCTGCTAATTTAAGCTTGTTCTACCTTTTCAGCTACCTTTTTTTTTTTTTTGCCGTTTTAGCTAATTTCAGCTGTTTTCAGATAAATTCAAGTTTTTGTTGTAACTTCTACTTTCAGCCGAATAAACTTATTTCTACTAATCTAAAAAAAGTTAAATCTGGTCCTCTGGACATTCAAAAAAACCCAAAACAAAGCAAAACAACAAAAAATGTAGAAACGTTTCGTCTCTCGTCCGAGAGACTTCTTCAGTCTGAGGTGCTGTTTTCAGCTCAGTCTCTTAAATAGCACCTTCTCAGAGTGGATCAACCATTTTTTGTTGTTTTGCTTTGTTTTGGTTTTTTTTGAATGTCCAGAGGACCAGATTTAACTTTTTTAGATTTTTCTACCTGGATTATTGAGCATGCATCAGGTTATTTCTACTAATTTCAGCTTGTTATGCTCCTTTCAGCTTATTTCTGCTAGTTTCAGGTATTTCAGATACTATTTAGCTGTTTTATGCTATTTGTAGATTTTTTTTAGCTAATTCCATTTTTTTTTAGCTCATTTCAGCTCTTTTCACTTCCAGAAAGTTCCAGTAGTTTAAGCTTCTTTCTACATTTTCAGCTATTTTTTTATTTTTATTTTTAAGCTAATTTCATAATTTCTGTGTTCATTTCGGCTTATTTAAACCTAATTCAGCAAATGTGTTTTTTTTCCTGCTTTCTTCTGATATGTATGTGCATGTGTATGTATATGTATGTATTTTATGTATGTGAATGTTTCTGATCAGTGCCCTGAGATGACGTCTGTGGTGAATTGGTGCTATATAAATAAACTGAATTGAAATTCTCAAAATTTAGTCTTGTTCTTCTTTTTCAGCTAAAATTCAGCATGTTTTTTTTATTTTATTTTTTTAAGCTAATTTCAGTAAGTTCTTCAGCAATAAGCATTCACACTGCATTTTCGCAGGAAATGCAATTTCTCTAGTTGTCCTTTATTTTGAACAAGGCCTCTGAACATGTCTACAAATCACTTCAGACTACACACATGATGAACTGGAACAGCCTTGCCTTGAGCAGAAAATGGAGGGTTAGGGCCAAGTGTTTGGGGTTAGGGAGTGAAACACAAAATTGGCTGAAATCCAACCCTACACCTTAATTTGAAGTGCTTGAGTAGTGGAACCAGAGGTTATGAGTTAAAATTGCTCCCTAGAATAAGAACTGTGTTTGGAGTCTGTATGAAAACACTCCATTTGGAGGACTAGTTGACCATAGCTCCTTGATTCCCCCAAAATGAGACATTATTTGTGTCTCAGAGTGGATGAGAGGTGTGAGGACAGGAAATAAAACTGGCTGGTATTAGAGAATTAAGGACAGCGCTGTATAAATAAAACTGAACAATTACCTTTACAATCTCCTGGGCAATTTGTCTCGTTTTATTGATATCCAAATTGTTTTTACTGTCCCGAACCACTGAATACAATGTCCTCCCTTTACAGAAGCTGTGAGAGAAAGACAAAAAAAAAAGAACAATTACATAAAGCAAATCCCTCATATCTGGGTTAGGATTAGAAATTATTTCCCAGAAGTTTCCACTTTACCTGGTTATGATAGCTAAGTGAGGTGGAGCCATGCAGGCCCCCATAAAGAGGACCACATTCTCGTGTCTGGTCTGTCTGTAGTTCATCACCTCCTTTTTAAAGAGCTTCAGATGGTCCTGATTGTTTCCGTCAATCTCAAGAAGTCGAATGGCGACTTCACCGTGCCAACGACCTTTGTGCACTCTGCCCCACCGGCCCTGGATTTAAAAACGAGTTAGAAAAAGTGTCTTTTGTTCAGGATTTGATGCCGATAATGGGTAGCTCTGATCCCTCACCTTTCCTATGAGCTCTCCAAGATCCAGCTGCTCAAAAGGAATGTCCCACTCCTGCAGATAGACACTGGTCTGGCTGGGCTTGCGGGAGATGGGGCCTTTCCAGCGGTTTCCACGAGTGCAGGGAAGATCGTCCAGCTCGTCGCACTCACCGTCGGAGCCCATGTTCATCCTCATATGCTCCCCGTCCTCCTCATCGTCCCCTCCATTGTCGTTTCCCTCATCGTCTTCATCGTTCTCCTCCTCCTCTTCAGGGTCTTCGTCTTCAACGTCCTCCTCAACTTCCTGCAATCAGACAGTGACAGTTTAGTGTACATGCACAGCATGCGTCCCAAAAATAATTCTTAATTATCCTCCAAATGCATCAAAGAAAGCCCTGAGCATTACCTCTTCATGTTCATCTTCCACCAACTCTGCATGAACATCATCTGCAGATGGTTCAATCTCATTGCTGCCAATCAAAAAAATCACATCAAAGAGGCAAAAATATATTAAGATACAATATTTGCAGCTATTTAATCACCACTTAACTTTAATTAAGCTAAATAAATATCTTACACTGTGTCTTGAAGGACATCAGAGTACAAACTTGCAGGAATGGAAACATCTATTGAGAGAAAAAAAACATAATTTAGGTAAGATAAGAGGATGAATACCTAGCCTCTGTTCATCACATATAAAAGGTGAATCCTCATGCAGTTTCCCACTACTTCCAGCAGATGGAGCCAAAATGCTACGAGTCAGAATGGAGTCAACGGTAAAGGGGACACGGTGATGAGGTGGGTGACTGAATGCAGTAATGCACAAGCAGAAAGGAGAGGAAGCTGCAGGAAACGGTGGTGTGGAGAAACGAGGAGCCTGTTTGACCCGCTGGGACAGTCAACTCACCGGGGAAGATAAACTGCTGTCTGTGCTGAAAGTAACACGCAGCTTTTGCAAAAATAGAGAGAGAGGAAATACAGATCAGCATGACAGGGAGAGAATTTTAGTTAGAGAAGCTTTTGATTTAAAAAATGTCATTCAAGGATAAATCAGAGTTAGTTATTTTATGTAGAAAGAGAAGGAATGGGAAATGTGTGAGAAGAAGAAATGCAGACTTTTTATAGAGTAAACTCAAAGATGAATCAGCTGTGAACTTGCTTTTTTTTTTTGTGAAATAAAACTGGATGTGGATCTCCACTGAACTGACCTGGAAAGTTGAAGCGGTTGTCCCTGTGGCCTTTGGGTGAAGGGTTGGGAGGCGGCGTGGCGCTGGGTGGGTTGCTCTGCTGGAAGGGAGCTGGGGAGGAAGGTGTGGATGAAGTGGTGGAGGACGGATTGCTGCTGGAGTCCAGCTGGTTCATCACAGGAGGATGATCCTGACAAGACGTGGATTTATAATAATTAGGAAAGTACTTCACAAAGTCACAAACACACATTTTATTTTGTCATCATTACAGAAGAACAGATTGTGGATGTACCTTTTTTGTGATGGCCTTTGGTAGCGTACCAAAATGTTGAGTGTCTTGTGGCCGGTCAACAGGGTTGTTAATATCAGAAGGAACTGACTCGGTCCTCCTAATTTTGGCAACTAGAGGAGACATTGTTAATATCACACATGCATTAGGTAACAAAGACTGTACCCGTCCACTACAGACTGAGCGTGGGAGGGAAAAAAAAAACTTACTTGGTAGAAAAGAGATTCTGCAAGACGGCGCCTCCTTTGTGCATTTGTTGTGGCACTTTAATCTGCACGAAGAAGGAGGCCACACGTGAACCTAGGTAGCAATTAGCTTTTAGCACCTACTACACTCACATGCAGATCAAGATTAAGACGAGCCATTAGAAGCCTTTACTACAAAGCAGGATTAGTGGCTTTGCAGGAGTAACTTCAGGTTCAACTTTAAGTTTTTATTACGTAGTCATAAAACTGATTCAGTCCTTGTTAAACTGTTTCACCAAAACAACTTCAACTACAAACCTCACCTGTTCAGGAGACGTTAGGTTATAGTTAATATCAAGCTTTTTGTTAGAGGTATGCAACAACATTGCTTGATTAGTCTTATCAGAGGCAGAAATAATTCATTAACTTTCACATTTTCCTTGTGCAGAGTTTTATAGTCACCAAAGTTCATCAAAACAAATATTTATATCGCCATTCACCTTATAAAATCTTGAGAAATGAATTAAAAATGTTGGACAAATAAACCTCTTTTAAAAGTGCGAATGAAAGCAAGAGATAGACATTTACAGTAAGTGCTCAGTGGCATGTTTTACATTTTAGTGCAATGAGCATCAACATGAGCCAGTGTTGCACCTGACAGAATATGGTTGAAATCTGCCTGCAAAACTTTTTTGTTTTTCAAAAATACCCAATAAATGTATGATGTAGAATTTTAGGCACTCGATCGTATATTAAACGTTATTTTTAACCAAGTGCCAGAAGTTTCTAAGAGCTGACGTGTATGACATGCTGGGCAACCAAACGGGTTTTTGGCTGTCTTCTAAATGGTACAAAATATGGCTCCAAATGTGCACATCCCCTTTAAGATGTGCAAGTACCCTGAAAACCATCAAAGTCTAAATAGGCAAAAACTAAGAACCAAAACTTCTGTTTTCTGGTTGATCTATATATTTTTTAAAGAATTTAGTAATATGTTGATTACTGTATTTTCCAGATTATATGTCGCTCTGGAGTATAATAATAAGTGCTATGTGTTGTCATTATTGTATGTTCCCATACAACGGCGAAATTTGTTCTCTGCATTTAACCCATCGCACCGGAGATACACCCAGGTGGAGCAGTGGGCAGCTATGCAAGCGCCCGGGAAGCAATTAGGGATTAGGTGCCTTGTTCAGAGACACCGTGACATGTGGGAATGGCTGGGGATTGAACCTGGGACTTTCGGGTCCCAAGTCGATTGCACTACCTCTACCCCATCGAGACTCCGTATGGGACGCGTCAGTCAAAAAATGCCTCATGAACGTATACAAGTCACTTCGGAGTATATGTCACATTTATTTAGACGTGTATTTCACAAAGTGCAAGAACAGACATTTAATCTGAAATAACAACACATGAATTGGATGTCGGGAGCGCTGGGACATTTCCCGGTGGCCTGGCCTGCTCAGTGGTCGCTGAGGGACTGGACTAAAGACTCGGTTTGGGTCGCGCTTGATTATTTAAGATAAACAAGCCGCTCTTACCGGGTCTTACTCATGTCTCACTGAAGCTGCACTGTAGCGGCGGGGAAGGACAGACACCTCCCCCTGCCCCCTCCCTTCTGTGTCTGTCACAGCAGAGACGCACAGGTTGGGCACCCGCCCGCGTGGACTTGGTAAATTCACCAATCTCATTCCACGTCACTGAATCCATTGAATTCTTCATCCTCTGTGTCGCTTATGAACAACTCCGCCAACTCCGGAGGAAGACTGGGGTGGGGGGGTCGTTAGCAGAAGAGGAACAACATATAGTTGTCAAAAGCCTAGAGGGCCATCTCGCAGCTGCAAATGGTAATGTTTACTCTTTGGTTCATGTCAGTATGAATGAACATTTAACACGTCGGTGAAAAATTGCATCATGATTAGGGAAAAACAAAAGTATGCAAGTTGCTTCGGACTATCCACCACAGGACTGGCCACACTATCAAAAAAAGAGCAACTTATAATCCAGAAAATACGGTACAGTTTTGTTTTCTTCAGCAAACATTTTGAGAGTGAGCTCATACTTTAAACACAGCTGACACAGTGCTTTTGAGCACAAAGCCACCAACTTACCGACAGTGTTTGCACTTCACCCCGAACATCATGTTCTTCTGGCACACTTGACATGTCTGAGACAACCAGGACTTGGTAGAAAACCTACAAAACGATGCACCAAACACGTGTTACGTCTTTCACTGCAAATATCAAAATACTTTTTAACAAATATTTTCATCACAAGCTCATTGGGTTTGCTTCAGTACGACAAAGGTAAATAAGAAATATAAAAAGGTCTACCTGTGCGTGACTGCTAGGCCTATGTCCCTCCTCACTGCTTGTGGGGAACTACGATGGACTGCTACGTTGTCTGGCCAGATTACCAAAAAAAGTAACAAAGAAATGGAAAAAAGAACAGAAAGATCACCAAAACCGTTAAGTGGAGAAATGTTGCGCTTTTGTCGTTTTTAGTAAACATAACAAGAAATAAGACTGTAAAAAATGTAGGACTCACTCTTGACTACACTGTGCTCCTCTATTAGAGTGGGCGTCCCTGGCAGGGTGTAAGGTGCTGTGGCGGGAGCGGGAGTAACTCCGGAGGTCCGTGCGGACATGACGGGGTAACGAGAAGGTGAGTCTTCACACCCGTTCCCATTGACATGCATATTTAGGAATAACTTGCTCTTTTTAGCAAACCTGGAGAGCAAGCAGAGCAAAAGGATTCAGCAGGAACATGGGCAAACACTTGATCAGATGCTTTAGCAGGTCTGCAGCATCACTTGTGTTAAAGAGGTGGTTATGTAAGCACTGGGGAGATGCACATCAGATCACCTTAATAGGATTGGCACAGAGCAGCATCTGTAACACCCAGACTGAGGTCACAGGAAGAGCACAAGGCAGTGCCAAACCTGTGACTTGTGCTCACATGCACACACACGTGGAAAAAGAAACAACAAGGGATGCGCAATATTGGATTTTTGGCCAATATCTGATATGTTAAAACTTGTATGGTCGGTAACCGATACAAATACTTTGTCAGAACACAGACCTCTTATTTAGGCTTATTTGCTACAAAAATTGTGTAACAGCTGTAAGAGTTGGTGACATATATTCAACAACAGCCATATGATATGCATAGCACTTTAACTTATATTAAATGAAAAGTGTTAAATATTATTTATTAGCATTAGTCACCTGCGATGCTGTCTCACTTGTGGAGGCTTGTTCCAGGTTCCTAGCTGCAGTGTGGGATCCTCTGCACTCTTGTGCATGAAGGACAGACTTTTTAAGTTCAAAGCTTTTGTTTATCCATCGTGTCGTAAGACTAATCATGCTAACGGGGCTAACACTTGACGTCCAAATGTCTGTAGTAAAACTCACCCAAGTGCTATCAGCTATTAGCTTTTCAATGACATCGGAAATGACTGCTTGTAACTCGGGTAAGGCTACGTCAGAAAAATATCTCTGACTGGGGACGATGTAGCGAGGCTCAGCGTAGTTCATAAATCTTTGGAATTAGACATCCTCACCAACGGAAAAAAACAACCTACCACACCACCGACATTTTGACTTCTGCCGTGATCAGATCAGGTAGGCGCGCGTGATGTTATCACGTGCTGGTACTGCAGACATCCTTGTCACTGGGTTGTCATACAAAAACAGCGCCTTTTATATCGGTAAGTTATTTTGATGGAATGGCCGATGTCCGATATTTAACTTTAACACTAATATCGGCCGATACGATACCATGCCGATTAGGGCATTAACAGAGTACTCGAGTAATTTACACATCGATTGCTAGGACATCTATCGATGTTAAAAATGTAAAGTCGGGTATCCGTAGTGACGTCATATTATGTTACCACCGTATGACCGTAGGGGGCGGTGTTGCACTGTTGCAGGTCACATAATATGGTGTAACACCGGGTCCAATCCACCGAACCAGAACCAGTTTCGGTTTAAGTTTCGTTTTTGACATGCTGCGTTTCTTCACGTTTGCAGTTTAATAATAATAATAACTAATGGTTTAGTTTTTCCTGTGACTTATTTGCAGTATGATAAATGGTAGGAGCATAATATACGCTCCCAATGTTTTGTTTGTCTTTTTTTTGTAAATAATTACCTTTTTTGCGGTTTTATTTATTTATTTATTTTTGTATCTTGAGATCTATGACGTCATCAAATACTCGAGTTCTACTCGGGTTTTATTATGTTAATGTCGAGTTTAAACATTATATACTCGTTCAACCCCTAATGCCGATAATATCGTGCATCCCTAGAAACAACCCGTTTTGTCTAATTTAGTCCCAAATAATGTTTAAACACACACAATAATTGTTTTCAGCTTGTTGTTATATTGTAGACAATGAAATAACTGGACTTCTGTTCAGTAGTGAAGATTCAGGGGATTTTGAATTATTTTGGATTTACGTAGTCCTGGATGACTAAAAGTCAACCCTAGCATTGTTAAATACGTACAAAAACAGGACAAAACAGTACATCTGCTTGTGATGACCAAAACCAACATGGTTTCCTTGCGTTCTTTATGTTTTGTTCCCTCAATAAAGCATTTTTCATATACAGACAGGATTTTGAGGATAAACATTTGGCTTGTTTATATGGCCCCAATGACAACAGTGATGGGGGGAGGAGGGGGAGAGAAAATGGGAGGTTTAAGTGTGTTGGCACTTCTGAGCATTAAAGCTATGAAACGCTTCCTGTTTTGACATGACTCATAATTTGTGAGAATTTGTGCGGGATTAGCTCCACTCGTAGTGTAGGAGCAAAAGAGCAACAGGATGTTAACAGCAAATGGGAGTGTGTCTGAGGATAAGCTCAGCCTGCTCACAGTCCTGCTCACCAGTACTGGCAGATTTTTACTCATTTTTGTTTGGAGCTTCTTTGCAATAATGAATGTCTAAATGTTTAATCTCTAAAATACTGCAAATAACTTTAAAGAGAAGTTTTAACAGTTTGTACAAATGTCCATGCAGACGATGACTGTAAAGGCTGAAACACAAACATATCACTGAATTTCTTTTGTTGTTAATTCTAGATTTTTTTATGGGTGATTTTGTTTGCAAGTTTGCAATTTGATCAAGTCCAAATCCAGTTTTGTAATATTTTGATTATAAAACTCTTATGTATTTAATGTTTATGAGAACAGAAGCAGGATATTATCCCCACAGCATGACAGAGCCTTTAGTTTTATTTAAAAAAAAAGTCTTTCATTTGATCTTCATTTGTATTTTCTTGACTAACAAGCAATTGCTTCTACTTCCTTTTCAAAAATCACATCACATAAGAAAGGTTCAGCAAGCCCAAGTCTTGCTTTTTGTTTAATGCATTTAATCACTGGTCTTGGTCTTCACTCAAGCAACTGGTTCAGTACGCAGCATATGGTGCAGGCTAGGCCGCTTTGTGTGGCGTTTTTCTTTTCTTCTTCAAGCAGCACAAACCCTCCCACACTTTTGTCATTAACTTTATTTTAAACTCTACATTCTGGGTAATACTTAATATTTTTACCTTTTATGCAGTCAAACTCTTATTGACTATTAGTAGCTATGTGAGCATTAAAAATAAGGCATGGGTGAGCAGCTATTTTCTCCCAGGACATTCCTCCCCACTTTCCAGTGCCCAAACCTGTGTTCAGAAATCCAACAGAGGCAGTTTCTCATAATTACAGCCCTGTCTTGCACTTCCATTTGCTCCTGCGGACACAGACAGAGGTGATCACTGTGACATTTTACCACCTACTTGTTAGTGGGAGGATCCTCGATGCGATTGCCCAGCTGGGACTCGTGGCTTTTGCTGCGTGTCAGGGATATGGTGGGAAACAGATGCAGCACCTTGCGAGACGGAGGTGGAGGCGTACATGGCGGCTTTAGTCGATGACGCCTTTTCGAGGGTGGAGTTATGGGTGGCGTGGAGGTGCGTCCCTGCAGCCGGGCTGTGCGATATAAAGGCATGGGGAATGGATCAGTGAAAGGGATTCCACTGTGGACATAGGATGCGAACGCCTCCGGTGTGGGCACCGTTGAGACTGAGCCCGAGCGAGGATGGGGAAAGGTAGCACTTGGGGTAGACGGTGTTGACTGGATGGTAGATGGGCGGGCTAGAGGCGATGGACTGTGGGAGCGAAGGGGAGTTCCCAGGTTGGTTAGCTGATCCGCAGTCAGTAGAGAGCCACTGTCCCTCCTGGTGGACTCAGACATCCAGGAAATACAGTCACCTCTTAGTTCTCCTCCTGAAATAGAGAAACAATATTAGAAAACCCAAAGACAGAACACTGGTGGGCTTATTTATGGAGAGTCGGCACAAACCTGATTCAGTGGCATTCTTCAAGCACGAGAGGGCAGCGCTGAGTTTAGTACATTCTTCTGCAGTGGACCCAAGTCTTCGCATTGCATCTTTCACCTGAACACTGGTCATCAGCAGCAAGGAGTCCAGGGACAACTTGGCCTGTACTCCCTGCAGGAATAAGATAAATTACTTAAGTTTTCACTGAAGTAAACAAAGAAGCTCTACTCAAATTGTGTCAATTATTACTTTACAAAACTAACATTCAAGACCTGTCCCAAACTGCAGAACTTTTGGCCATCTATTTTTGACACCTTCTCTCAGATATGTGGGAAAACTGTACACCAATCACCACTCATCTCACTGTTCGGGGTGGTCCCTGTGGATATGTCCATCAGCAAGTAAGAGAAGGACGTGATTGCCTTTGGCTCTCTTTTGGCCAGAAGACTGGTTTTATGCAAAAGGAGGAACCCACACCCCACATCATATGTACATTGGATAAGGGAGGTGATGTATCATATTCATTTAGAAAAAAATAGATCTACCCTGAAGGGTACTGTAAAATATTTTGGGACACTTGGTGGCCTTTTGTATTGTATGTGGAAAGCCTGTCAATACTTGTTTCATTTGTTTGTGTATGTTTGACTGATACGGTGTGGAAGGGGTTTTTGTTCTTCGCGTTTTCTGTTTGTATGCTAAAATAAAAAATTGATAAAAAATAAAATAAAAAAAATCTTTGATTAAAAGTAATATATGATACCAACTGGAAAATAAACCTTAAAAAAAATGTATCTTTGAGATTTGAAGTACTCAGTTCATTGGAGCTGAAATTAGAAGAAACAAATAAAATCTGACTTTACCCTTCACATTCATAACTAACTTATTTTTCGGCCTATAAGTTGCGTTTTTTTGGGTGTCATTTACATGCCCTGTGAGTTATACGCCAAAGCAACGTATTTATGTATTTTTTCCCATATTTTTAAACCAATTTTTGGCTGAGATATGACCGTTTTCATTCATTCTGAATGAAAACACTGAACACTACCGTTTTCAGCGGCTAGATGGCACTCGAGTAGTAAAGCATGCAGTTGTGTCATGTAATAGGTAAAAGTAGCTATTAATGACACAATCGGCTTGCCACAGCCTGCCACCTTCGTCCAGCTCACCAGGAACTACTGTCAAATCAGCTTCATTTCGCTGTGCCGCGCCGGCGAAATGTAGCTGATTTGACAAAGTGCATTTATTAAGGAAAAGTTCAACTGAGACACACCTTTGCTATAATTTCGAGCAAACAAATAATTGTTTTTAGGTGGTTATCTTGTTAAATTTTGAAGAAATGCACAGTGAGTCCTCCCGTGCACGAGCCTATTTCTGTGTATCGGCTTTTGAAAATATAGCTGATTTGACAAAGTGCATTTATTAATGAAAAGTTAGACACACCTTTACTATAATTTTGAGCAAACAAATAATTATTTTTAAGTGTTAATTTTGTTAAATTTTTGTTAAAGTCCTCCTGTGCATGCTCCCACGGCCACCATTTGGCAGCCAATCGATTTTTGGCACAACACCGGCCCACATTTCTGGGTTGTCAGCGGTGACACATAATAGATGTGACGTATACGGAGAAGTGACGCATTTAAGGATTTTTCCACTTTATTAGACATATTTGGACTGATGCGACTTATAGGGCAGTGCGACATGTACGGTGGAAAATATGATATAACTGAATATATTAAAATTTGCATCGCTTGCAGTCATACTGCTCAGTGCTCACTATCCTTTTATATATTTGGAGCTTTCTTGATTCACAAGGACCAACGGCTTCATAGTTACTATGGGTTTACCAGTAATCAAACTTCTTGAAGTTCAAAATTAGTTTTAGGGGTTAAGTGAGTGTGACATGTCAGAGGAGTGTTGACTAGCTTATCTTGGGTTTATTCCTGGATTTGCAATGACAAAACAAAAAAAAAAAAAACAAAGACATTTTACAAATTCACAGAAACCACAGAATAAGCCGTACATGACGAGCCGCTCTCGCCGGTCATGGAATCACTCCCTATTAGGAGGCGCGTAGGAGCCGAGAGGCTGGATTCCATAAATAAGACAACTACAATCACTGAAGTGTTTTTGGAACATCCATTACATAATGCATCCCTCAGTATAGAATAAGGAGATACACTCCACAAAACTCAGTATTTATTTTGTGTGTAGTTAGTGGGTCATTACTGTGCCATGAAAGCCCCACATCTATTAGAATATTTCTGTTGGGACACAACACATACAAACGAGCATCTATTATTCTAATGCAAGCCAACTTCTTTTCTTGCTCAAAGCTCAAGTCTTCAAAGGGAATTCTGATTTAAACAATAAGCAAAGAGCAAAACTGAGCAAAACAAAGATGAGAAAACTGTAAAAAGAGGACAAGTAATCAAGTATACAGCCGCACCACAAAACAAAGGGAAAGTAAAGCAGACGCTTGATTTGAAGTGCAGAATTTCTAAAAATAAATCAGTTATGGTAGGGTTGGGCTGTGACCACTTTTTTAATTCAGTCAAGCAATCCTCAAATTATACTGTGGTATACAGTATTACAGAGTATATCAAAAAGGACTTGTGATTTTGTCATTACTGCATGTAATTTATTGCATTTTAAGAGTTTTGTACACATTTTATCTTTACTTTCTTAGATTATTGATGCAACTTTGTTTCATGGTTAAGCATAATGAAACGAAGCAATTTAAACAATAAAAATATAGAAAAAAGTCACATCTAAAACGTTATTTTTTAGCTTAACAAATAAAATGGGTATTTTTAAAGTCTGAGCAGGCAACAGCAGGGTGCAAACTTTCAGTTGTAGTCCAAAGGTGTGTTTGTAGCGCACGAAGATGGAAAAAGATGATTTCTGCCTCTCTTGTGAATCACATTCTCTCTACAAAATCCATTTAGCTGTTGTTTAGCTATTGTTCTTCCAATGTGTGTCTCTCTGCCTCCATCACAACTATAACGCACTGCTCATTTCAACTTTTGGGGGGAGGTTCTTGAATACACCGTTTTGTTCTTTAGTTGTGAAAGTAAAAAAGCAGTGACGTTTTAATAGATCTGGCTGATATGTATGAGTAATGTCAATAAAACTCTTATCAGGCTATAAAATTAACAGGTTTATGCATGCAGTGAGTAAGTTGTGCAGTTGTGTTTTTATATTAATTTCTAGTAGACTTGCTGCAGGCCCCCTCCTAACAGTAGGTGTCACTGCAGAGAAAATACAGCTACGCTGCAGGAATGACAGCAGAAGAAGAGTTTTCAGGAAGTACACTCTTCACACAAAACTAACTACAGTGGTCCCTCGATTATTATGGGGGATCCGTACCCTGAAGCCCTGTGATAAGTGAAAAACCGCGAAGTAGGAATAGTAGTACAAGTAGTAGTTTTCTAAACAATGTTTCTAAACTCTAAACACTCATGATTTCAGCTCTCTGCCTCGGCTGCTCTTTGCCACCTGCAAGTGCTATTGGCCACGCCCACTTCTCCACTTTGCACAGGGAACAGCTGATCAGCTGCAGGAGGAAGCTTATCCTGCAGTGTGGGCTGCACAGAGGTGCAGCAGGTGCTAAAGAATTTATTTTAAATAAAAATTCCATGCTGATTGTGCTGCTCATCCATCAATCAGCCAATTGTGTGTCATGTCCAATCTTATTTTGAAAAACCGCAATAGAGCAAGTATGCGATAAACGAACTGCAAAGTAGCGAGGGACTACTGTAGTGTTTAAACGTATTTTGTGCATGAGAGAGAGAGAAAAAAAAAATCTAAGTAGTGTTTTTAAAGGCAATATTTAAAGCAATACCTGTGGCTCGGTAGAGCTGTTTCCTCTAAGTGAGGTTACCGGATCAAATCCGGGCCAGGGATGTTTTTGTGTGGCGTTTTCTCTCTCTGTGCATGCATGTGTTTTCTCTGGGTTCTCCGGTTTCCTCCCACAGACCAAAAACATGCATGTTAGGCTGACTGGTAACTCTAAATTGTCCCTAGGTGTGAGTGAGAAAGTGAATGGTTGTTTGTCTCGTTTGTCTCTATGTGGCCCTGTGACTAAACATCAAGCCTTCACATCAATGTGAAGAAGACAAAGGAGATGGTCATGGACTTCAGAAGGAACAAACAGACCTGCCCCCCCTGAACATAGGAGGATTTGCGGAAGTGGTCTCCAGCTGCAAGTACTTGGGTGTGCACCTGAATGACAACCTCAGCTGGAGCAACAACACCACCAGCCTGATCAAGAAAGCTCATCAGAGACTCTACTTCCTCAGGCGGCTGAGATGAGCTGGTCTGGGAAGCTCAGTCCTCACTTCCTACAGGTGTGCAATGGAGAGCATCCTGTGCTCCAGCATCAACATGTGGCATGGAGGCTGCACAGCTGCAGAAATAAAAGCTTTGCAGAGAGTGGTGAAGGCTGCACAGAAGTCTGCTGGAGTCAGCCTCCCCACCATCAGACATCTACACCTCCAGATGCAGGAAGAGGGCCACCTGCATCATGAAGGACCCCACTCACCCAGCACACACACTTTTTGCCCCGCTCCTCTCAGGCAGGAGGTTAAGGAGCATTAAGTGTAGAACCACTAGACTGAGGAACAGCTTCTACCCTGAGGTTGTTAGACTCATAAATATCTAACCAGAATAATCACTGTGAAAAATCACATGTTGCTGCTGATCTGCTTCATGTTGCTGCTGATCTGCTTCATGTTGCTGTGTTCATTCGTGCTCATCTGCTCACACAGACTCATGTTTGTGCTGCTGTTCGGAGCATTGTTTTTGTACTATTAGTGCTTTGTGTATTTTTAGTTAACGTTTTTCTTAGTTCATGTCTTAGATCTTATTACTGTTTTTCTTTTACATTTTAATACTTTTGTTGGATGTAACTGGGACCTTGTGTACATAATTTCATTATGTGGTGCAAATGATAAATAAAGAACTTTGAATCCTTGATGGACTGGAGACCTGTCCAAGGTGTCCCCCGTCTCTCACACACTGACTGCTGGATATGGGTACCAATGACCCCCAGGACTCAGAAAGGATGAAGTGGGTAAATTTAAGGATGTTGCGATTTTTAAATACTGGGTAAACAATATATCTGTATATTACCCTGAGGTTACAGTTGGGTCAGACAGGTGAGAAAGGATGAT